AAATGGGCCAAAACATGAAGAACAGAATGAGACTCCACAACCATTTGCAGAAAAAAAAAATCAGATCTAGTGTCTGTTTGTATGTTGTTGTCGTAATCCATTGTGTATTGGCTACGATTATGAAAGATTTTCATGAATGATATTTTAGAACGAAAACCTTTGAGAGCGTCTCAGGTTTCTCGCTGCCTTCGGTCCAACTCCTGTCCTGTCATCACCCTCGGGCGAAAGACGCCAACTTCGACTCTCATGGCCAGACAAAAAGGGAGCCTGTGATAATTGTCCATCTCCAGCCTCTTCTCGTGGCTCATGCTCTAAAGTCTTCATCAATGCCATTATCATCGCTTGGAGTCCAAGTCCCCTGCCCTGCTGTCAGCACCCATCCTGAGCTCACCCCAGCACCAGGTCCACGCGGTGGTGTCTGGTTCCACTCGTTCCCCTCCTCTCCAGCCAGATCAGAACAATATACAGTATCTGTGTTCACCTGTTAGCACTCCTCGGCGCGGAGTCGCTGTCAATCCAACACTGGGCCCGACGCCATGTGGAACATGCTTCCCTGTCACCAAAGCCTTCAACCCGCAAAACGCATGGGAGAATAGCAAGCCGCTCGCCCCTCACCTGTCAGCACTTTCCGTGGCAGCCGAGTCATGCTAACATTCAGAAGCTACATGAAAAGCATTTGAGTAAATCAACAACCCATCAGGTAATTACAAAGAGTATCATCTGTCGCCTTTGTCCCACCGAGTGTCTAAATTCATGCTACTGCATCAATTTCTCAAAACGTTTGCTCCAACGTCGGGCTTGGTGTTGGCTGCCAAAAATCAGGAATTCATCATGAAGAATCTGACGGAATGATCATTGTTTCGTTACATCTTGAAGCGCGGCCCGGTGGTCCAGTGGTGAGCGCCTCGACCTCACAGTGCAGAGGTACCAGGTTCAATCCCAGCTCCGGCCTCGCTGTGTGGAGTTTGCATGTTTGCATGGGTCTGCGTGGGTTTCCTCCGGGTACTCTGGTTTCCTCCCACATTCCAAAAACATGCATGGCAGGCTGATTGAACACTCCTAATTGTCCCTAGCTGTGAGTGTGAGAGTGGATAGTTGTTTGTCTTTGTGTGCCCTGCGATTGGCTGGCAACCGGTTCAGGGTGTCCCCCGCCTATACCGCCCGAGGACAGCTGGGATAGGCTCCAGCACCCCCCGCGACAATTGTGAGGATAAAGCGGATCGGAAAATGAATGAATGAATGAATGAATATATCTTGAAGCAATTAAGAAAAAAAAAGAGCTCCTAATTTGCTGTCGAAAGAAGACAAAATAACATCAAGTCAAGCTATGGGAAGGTGAGCGATGACCACATGCAACATTGGCATTGAAGCAGGGGTTCCGAACATTTAAAGAGAGATTTTCTATTCCTAATCAAAATACGGTAACAGTGTATCGTTTTTAATCCTGAACAAAAAAAATGTTCTGTCCCACAAGCATCTGACCAACCATCCTGACTTGAGACTGATCATGAGACACCTGCAACGTTCTCCTGTCTCCGCAGAGGACCGCTGGCGGTCTGACAGGGTCACCGTCGGGTTCTTGGTCACTTCCCTGACAAAGGCCCTTCTCCCCGATCGCTCAGTTAAGACGGGTGGCCAGCTCAAGGAAGAGCCCTTCGGGTTCTTAGTTTTCCCCTTACTCTCAGAAGTGCGCCTCAGAGATCTGCAGATAATTCTTATGACTTCATGCTTGGTTTGTGCTCTGACATGCGCTGTCAAATCTGGGATCATATAAAGGCAGGTGTGTGCCTTTCCAAATCGGACCAAAATAGCTCACGTCTGCATGAACTTAAACAACACTTGAGCCCGATGTAAAGATGATTTCAATGGCATGTGAGCTGTTATAAATGGCGAGGGAAGGATGTCATCCAACATCCTTTCTGACGAGCCGATGTTGGCACTCACACACACACGGGATAATTTTCTGCTATGCTTACTTTTAAAGATGTTACACTCACACCACAAAACTCCCCTGCCGTGCGTTTTAGAAATGTTTGTACCAGATGACTCTGCACCCTCCCAAAGTTTTCCCAGGAGGAGCATGCCAAAAGTCTAATGAAATGGGAACACTTTTTTTAAATGAAGTAAAGCCTGCTCCAACATGTTTTGTTTGAGAGGAAACCCACACTTATCTCATTAAACAGTCCTTGCCTTTGCAGAAATGAGTGCAACTTTGCCCACTCCAAATTTACACGGCGTGTTACTAATGCTGAAGCTTTCATATTTACAAGCCAGGATGACAGATGTAGAGATGGACTAAAGTCAAAGGGTGTCTTGTCCTTCAGTCAGCCAACAACATTTCATTACATACCGAATATCATTCAGTTATACGCAGTTCCTACTTTTATTCTTTCCACAAATTATTTTTCAAAGCAAAATATTCAATGATGACTTTTGAGGAATGCGCGTGCTGTTGTGCGAGTGACAAAAATAACTACATATACATTTAAAATAAACAAAACAAGCCCACACAGCCATCCCAGATCCTTTTTCAAAGAGTTGGAATCAAAGCCAAAAGTTGCTACATTCACATTAAGGAGGGAGAATGTCATGTTGAACACTAAATTACAGGCACTGAAATGTTGTCTGGTTACTCAGCAATCTATCAGCCACACATGCACACACACACAAACACACACACACACACACACACACACACACACATACACGAAAAGAGCGAGGGTGGGAGAGACGAGGGGGTGGCGGGTCGCTACGAGGGTTGGGGGATAGACATGGAGCAGACAGGCGCCAGTCACAGCAGGATCAAAGCGAGAAAAGTACCTCAGGGAAAGAAACGGTTAACTCCATTTAACCAATTGTCCCACAGATCATCAGTGTGCTAGTGGTGCCCCCCCCCCACTTACCCCAAATAAAATTTTAAAAAAGCAGTTCCCATAGGGAGAAAAAAAAACATATCAGGTTTCTCACAAAACAATTTGACTTGAGTTGAAGTGCTGCAAAGCAAGATCCAATTGGACGGGCCTCTTTAATGGGGCCTCATCAACTTGATTTGGGGTTTCACTGTGCCCGTCCAGTGGATGGCCGACAAAGACCACAATACGTTGAAATACGGCCAATACGCAGCCATAGATCATTTCATTACTACTAGGCCAGGAGGCAGAAACTTTACAGTGATTCCAGTGTATTCGAGTACTGTAAATAAACCAGATTTGATCAATTCCTGCCCTTGATAAAAACACACTGATGAAAGTGTCCGCATACTTTCAAACACAACTGCTCAGATAAGGAAGCCTTGATAAATTTTCAGAGCTAGCTAGGTGAGTGGGCTATGACATGAGTAACACTCATCTTGCCAGTGTTTAGATGGGGACAACAGCATCAATTTCTTTATCCATTTATTTTTATTTAATTCATTCACTCCCAAAGACGTTTTTAAACGTCTTTTCAGACTTGGTCTAGAATTGGGTGGTACTGAATGAGTTTTAACAACAATTGTGTGTAAGTTGCCGCAGCGACAAAATATCACCTGGAAATTGGAGCAACTCTACTGAGCTTCCATGATACCGACAGAATGTGGTCATAACTCTGTGTCTTTCTTTTTTCTATTTTTTTTTTTTTTTTTGTGGAAACAGGCATTTTTGGAGACTTGCGCGGCAAAAATCCAAGTAAACAGTTGTCTATTCCACTGATTCCCAGCTCATGCTACGTCTAAAAATGACTTACCTATCCCAGAAGAGTCAACTTAACCAAAATGACAAAACTAAAACTGTAAAGCCGCAGTTTTGCAATCACCGTGAGACGACCGCGTGTGGTGTCATCCCCTTTCAGTCATCTTTTGGTTTTGAAACAAAACGTTTCTATTTTGAGTGACCGACCGATGATTTCCTGTAGGCATCCATCAATTTTTACTAGAAAGCCACAACCCGGGTGTGACGTCATTCCGGATTTTTTTGGGGGGGGGGAAGACTCATATTTCATCTGAAAACCGAGGTACAGTATTTGGACTGGAACGCAGCCCATTAAATTAGAACGTCTACAATCCAGCCATTTGGCTTTTTTACCTTTAATACGAAGGGGAGCCAAATGGCTTGATAAGTTTTGGATGAATATCTTCACTCAGATGTGAACAGCCCAGCAATTTGCGTTTTCGAATTTCCATGACAAAAGGGCAAGTCAAGTAGCTGAACCAGTTTTTTCGCCATTGTTCACCATCCTGCCATCATTGTACTATAAATGTGGCAATTATTCTCTACTCTGTACTCAACTACTGGGGGAAGGGCCGTGATGTTGCTTTACTTTTTTTTTTTCCAAGGAGAACGCCCAAACCATTTAGCCTTGAAAAAATATGTGTTTATGGCTACATCATTTTGAAATCTGAGGTCAAGTATCATATTTGGTTTAATTATTGTTGACGTTATTGTAAAAATGGGTTTGGGGACGAGAACATTTTTCCAGTAGTGCGATGTTTTTTATTTACAGCAATTTAAAATTTTAGTACAGATCTTAGCAAGAATAATGGAAGTGTGTGTCCCGATGGACTTTCCTTTCATTTCATTATTAATGGTTCTGAGAACATGATGCTGACAAATCTTTGAGTAACACTCAGACGTATAGCTTATAAGTGAACATTTACTCTGGGTTGGTTTGCATCACTTCAACCTACACTGGTGAATTCATTTTCTAGTGTTAAATGAATCAAGACTGAATACTGACAGTATCAAAGTGTCCTTGGAAGAAAAACGATGCGCCACCCCTGACTAAGAGTCATCAGCACAAGAGAGTAAAACGCTGACTGTAAAATGACTGAGATACAGTAAGGAATGTCAAATAACAGGGGAAACCCTGCTGGAATGTTCAAGGGGACGAGAGTGCAAGCAATATAACATTTTTAGGGTCTCAAATTAAACCCTTGGCTCGAAGTCAGCATCACAACCCCGTCATGAGGTTTCCTGCCCTATCAGAGACAGTCTGGGTGGAGTCACGGAGATCCAAGACAGAAGAAGGCTTGTGGTACGGTGAGTCGGGAAAGCACTTAACTCCGTGTGTAACAAGTTGCTGCGTGGTCCTATCATAAAAAATAAGAAACACATATTTACTGGGGTAAAGCAAGCAAACATCTACGGAGAGCGAGGAGGGACTTTTGGTTGTATGGCACCTCAACTGTGCGTCATGAATCCTGCGCAGGGATCGCCACCTTCGGCCGCACCGGGGGACATTACCGCGGAGGAGCGCGCCTCGGGGGGCTCCGCACCCGAGCAGCTCGACTCGTCACCTGTCGCCAGGTGTAAAGGCAAAAGTATGGATCTGCCTTTCAGCGTGGAGTCGCTCATGTCGGACCGGACGCAGGCTACATGTCAGCAATCCACGGAGTCCAGCGCGCGGATGGAAGAGGACGCGGGGAGAGCTTCGCCGGTGGAACTTAATCGGTTCAAAACAGAGAACGTGGATGTCAACGACAAGGAGAGCAGCCCCTGGTTACAGTCTTCCTACGCATCACCTCCCAGTGAGTGGAAGCACTTAATTATTGATCAATCGTGTCCAAGAATTACAGATACATTTACCTGTATTTATTTATTTATGGTGGAGTAGATAAGGAGGGCTACAAGTAAAATAAGTAGTTTCACGCACTGGATTAGATTTGATTTGGTGGATTATCATGTACGGTACATCCACAGGTCAGTTTAGGTACATATGGTATTATATAAAATATACCGTTTCCTGATTACAAAAAGAATATATTTAACATTTGTATACGTTTATGTTATAGATTCTAAAGCTTCTTCGTGTATTAGTAAATATTTAAACGAAAATATTATTATTTTAAAGCGCTGCATAAAAATACAGAATACGTTTTTTGGGGTGGTTTAAACAAGGTTTACGTTTCACTGAACTGGAAGTCCTACTTTAATAAAATACCGTGAACGTGTTACTGCTGTGGTAGAAATGCACTGCAAATACTACCGTGACCGTGTTTCTAATATTTTTAGCCTCTCAATAAAGATAAAAATATTGTAGATACGCCTCTTCTTATTACACAAGGCGTCGGCAAACTACAAAAGACAATGAAGTGGACGTACTGTTATCTCAGTACCAATTATAGTCATTAGCCTGTTATATAATTTTCATTCAATTCTTCAAGCGTCGAAGCAATTAAGTGTCCACTGAGTGTATAAATATCTCGTTTCCCCCCCTACAGCTATTATGCAATTAAAATTGACTTTCTGGTGAAAGGATGCGATTGTTAATGATCTGTGTGTCCTCGCAGGACTCCCCAGCCCGAGCCACTGCAACCTGCGCAAACACAAGAACAACAGAAAACCCCGAACTCCGTTCACGAGCACTCAACTGCTGTCCCTGGAGAGAAAGTTCCGCCAGAAACAGTACCTGTCCATCGCCGAGAGAGCAGAGTTTTCCAGCTCCCTCAGCCTGACAGAGACACAAGTGAAGATATGGTTTCAGAATCGCAGGGCAAAGGCCAAGAGACTGCAGGAGGCCGAGTTGGAGAAATTCAAGCTGGCAGCCAAGCCGCTGCTGCCGGCCTTCGCCTTCCCCTTCCCCGTGAGCGCACCCATGGGCGCACCGGCCCTCTACGGGGCTGTGAATGGCCCGCGACCTGCCTTACCGGTACCGAGACTATTCGGTGGACCCTATGGGATGTACTACTTGTCTTAACACCGCATTGATTGGACACTCTGCGTGTATGAGTGTGTGTGCCTTTACATTTAAAATGATCTCCACGCCACAAAGCAACATGTTTAATGAAGAAATTTACGTGAGAATATTTATTTGGTTGGAAAAAAAAAACTTTCATGTAAAATTGTTAACAATGAATAAACACTATAGCGAATATATAAGCCGTTAAATAATTTCTAGGAGGCCTTAAACGTTTTACACTTGGCTGGTTAATTAAAAATGGTCATTTTTGCAGTGTAAAATGCTGTCAAAAAACAACAAAATGCATAGCTTTTAAAATTCCCTTTAAAATGAGATGTTTTCTGTAAAACATATTTCTTAAAAATGATTATACTTTTAAGACTGAAGGTAAAAAGCAGAAAATTCTGTGTTTTAACTTTGAATGGATATTTATGTACAGAATTTGAACAGGATTTACAAGCCAAAAATGTATTTTGTGACCTTCCTAAAATGTTAATCCAAAGATACAAGTAGCCTGTCCAACAGCATGACACAGAAGAGCTATATTAAGCAATAATTGTATTCAAATTTAAAATGGATCATGACCTTTCCATGTGAATTTATAAGATACTCCACATTATGCAACGTCAAAATATGTTCGTTTTCCCAACATTAATAATTTTTACACTATTGACCTTTAAATTCAAATGTACTTTTTTTCCCTTCCAAGAGAACAGCAAGCACCATTTGTGTCTGTAAATAAAAAAATGATGACTTATTTTATACTCAAGAGTGATGAAGTGTATTTTATATATACTTGTTGGCTGACATTTTTAAGGGGCGCAATTAAAGTTTATTACATATATACTGAGGTTTGTTTGTATTTTGTTTTAAAATGTCAGTTTTGAAGCCAGACAATAAGTAATGTGTATGTCACACAAAGGACTGCCTGAAAAAAATGATATACAAATAAAAATAAATATTTTATTTACTGTCATCTGAAATAACTGAGTACATATTTGTGATTTCTGAAAATGTTTCATTTTCTCCTTCCTCTGTGCCCTCTGAAGCCTCGAATGGAGCCGTGACCAAAGCACACATTAGAGGGAACCCTAGAGAGAGAGAGAGAGAGAAAAAAAAAGTAAAGCAAGATTGTTCAATTTACAATGGAATATTTAAGTGAAATTCGAATGCCACGTTGTAAAGCTGAAAATGACTGAAATGCTATTAAAGCAGCCCCACTAACCTGTTGGAGTATCGTGATTTCAGATGCTCATTATTTGTGTTGGGACCTGCTGCCAGCTGCTCATGTGAAGCGCTCTTTTCAGTAGAGTAGTTCCCTGTCTCGGGTGCGGGCATCTCCATGGATTCCTCTTGATCAGCCTGTTTGGACTGCTCCTCACAAAGTACCTCACGCGCATGATCCACTACCTCCATCGCTATGTCCATCTGCTGCTGATGCTGCTTTGCCTCTCGAGGTCTGACAAAATAAATTGAGAAATTTTAGCAGAATATTATTATTATTATTATTAATAATTGGAAACAGGTCGCAACTCACAAATGAAACAAAACGTTACTTTGGAATCTTAACAGAGGTGGTAGTAATATGCTACATTTACTCTGTTACGTTGAATTATGGAACTTTGTCAGAGTACCTTTAAGCGAACATACTTTACTTTCAATTAAGTATTTTCATTATGAAGACAGAGTGCTTTTACTCTGTTACAATGAGCTACCTTCTGCTCACAATTTTTATTTTTATCTATCTATATTTCTTTAAAGAGACCTGTGTCTCAGGTGGTATCACATGACTGATTATGGACTCCAGTTTATCATTCAAACAGAGCCAGGCAGTCACATGACTGGTCACAAAGTCTCCATGCACTGCCCCACAAAGAGGCAAAGTTTTCAAAATGACTCAGCATTTACATGAGGCACGGGAGAAACAACAGAGGATAAAATAGCTGGGTTAATATCACAATAGAGCACCATTTGTGTCTTCATCAGAATCACACTCTCATGACAATAATAGCAGAATAATGAAACTTGGAGGTCTTATAAGTGGCCAACAATTGCAAACATACCGGTACAATTTTAAGTATTTTGAAATATGTTTTCTGCTTTTTATGCATTTATTTCATTGTGTAATGATGATTTTGGGATGCCCCACCTCCCGCATTATATTGCTCACTATTGTGCACGAAGAAGCATTTAAATGGTCCTAAATCAAACATTTTTTTAACATGGTTTTATTGTGCACAACAAGTGCCCTGATAAAATGAGTAACTGTGGTCATGTAAATTATATTTTAATAATAATAATGAACACTTTGCATGTGTCCTTGAAAATACACCCTGTCATTACAGAGTAAAAGCCACTTTCGAAACTCTGATGTTTTCAGTGACATTGCGACCTATATTAGGTAAAAATATTGGTGGGCAATGTCTTAATTTGCAGATCCGTCTTATATTTTTGTCTATTTGGCACGTATGATCTTATTTTTTGTTCACTCAATACTTACCAACCCTTACGCTTACTCAAATAATTACTTGAAGGACTACTTATTACTTTTAATTGGGTCATATTATTCTATGAAGTAAAAGTAACTGAGTATAACTTCATAGCCTTCCCACCTCTGAATATCAGTATGAATGATTTAAATAAAATAACACAGTAAGGCAAAATTAAATATATATATATTTAGCTGTCAGTAATATGTTTATAGATTATATATTGATAGATAGTTTTATATATATATATAGTTTACGAACTCCACAATCAAGATAACACGTACTGCACATAGAGAACGCTGCTGCCATCTACCGAACAAATGAAATAAGTACAGTCTCACCCTTTCTCTCTTTTGGGTTTGTCAAATCTGAAGTCTGGAGGATACTTGTGAATTTGTATCAGGTGGTCCTTCCGAAGTACGCTCGTCCTGAATTTGTGTTCACAGCCCTCCACCAAACACTGGTACTGTAAATCACGCATGCCATGTAAAGCCACTTTACGTAGACATGCTGATTGCGAAAACATTCACAACATCGGATTCCTCCACCAAGGAACTCAGTTTTGATTCTCATGTTTCATACCATGTCTTGCCGCTGTGCAAGGACTATGAAGAGAGAGTCATGCCACTCCTGAATGTGAATGTCCAGGAGGCGGGCGGTGGGAAGTGAGCGCCGGCAAATGGAGCACACGTGTCTGTGTAAGGAGTTGTAGTGATGCTCATACTCCTCTAAAGTGCCGTGGACTGCGTTGCAGCCAGAGATGTGACAGGCAAACTCTGAAACACTGGTGAAAGAACCACACAAAAACGTCTTGAACTTCTGAGCCCCTGAAAAATACCGGCAATCAATAAAAAAAAAATTACTGTAAAACGTCAATGATATTATGTGTATTTGTATTTTTGTACTTGTACATTTCAGTCTGTATTTTACTTAAAGAGCTGAATCATTGTATTACAGTACTTCTATTTTTTACCTTTTTTAACACACACGTATCTGTACTTCTATGTACTTAGATCCGTTGTGGAAGTACTTTTGCCACCGCAAATTAAACGCTCTAGCTACCCACAGGAGATGCATGCGTACAACTGTCATACCTGACGGTTTGTTTGTCGTCGATTGCCTCTGAAATATAGAGGTCTTGAAGGTAAAGATGTCTTTCAACGTCTCCATCCTGAAAATAAAATGCCCATTGAATTAAATGAGAGTACGGTACATTCATTAAAAAGTAGTTCAGGTTGTCGTTACCTCAAACAGTTCATGGTCCTTGTGAAGGTAGATGAGCTGTGGGCTGAAGTTAAACGGGTTCTCCTCCTGCGAAATGTCGTCTGTCGTGCAGTCTTCATTTTCGCGGTTCCCTAGCGTAGTCGGAAAAGATTTTGGCTGTAACATTCCTGTTTCTCAACGTCCACGAAATCAAAAATGCATTTTTTTTTCACCGTTTTGTCGCAGTTGCGCGTGTCGCTGAATGATGACGTTTGGATTAAAGACGGAAATGGCGTCAAACTGGGACCATTTTAAATTAAGATGATGGTGACGGACTTTATTTTTTAGTTGTTTCTATTATTGCCACAAAGGCATAATCGAATATTTGCAAGTGTTTGAGAAGGATAACTGAGCACCGAAGTGTATTTTCTGGATTAATTTCTGGTATATGCAGTACAATAAACGGCCAGCAGATGGTAGCAAACACGCTGCTCCTAAACTTTGTCCGACTCATTGATTTTTTTTTTACATTTAATTTTATTTTATTATGCCCCATTAATGTGTCTCAATGCAGCCGTATATATGTTATATTTCTTATTTCATCAGATGACCAATCATTTTGAATTCGTTGTGCTTGTATTTTTAATGTTTGGGATTTAAAGTAGCTTTGTGAATTTTTACCGAATGATACAATCTTATTCATTATGGATAGGTCCTAATTTTAACATACACGGTGTCATACAAAATATTTAATGGGTTTTTAAAGAGTAAAGTTGGAGGTCTTTTCTTTTTTATTCACTTGGGATTTCTACGCGTCAGAGGATCAGTTTGAGGAAATTACAACAGAGGGGCGGAGAAAGGCATAGTCTTCGGCATTCGGACCATTCCAGCTCACAATGACTGAGTCCGTCCGAGCAATATGACCCACTTTGGATATGTGATATGGATTTTCTTCTCCGCGTGGGGTATTTCTCTTTTTCTTTTTCCTTCCATATCTCTCGCTTTCTATGTTCTTTCATAGTTTTTTTTCTTTCTTTCTTTGTTGGCTCATTGGGATATTCCTCTTTGCAGGGAGTGTGTGGACTCTACCTCATGTGATGAAGTATCAAACAGTGATACCTCAGAAGCTGAAGAATTCATCTCACATCACTGTTGCTGCCACCCATCAGGTAAGTCACCTTCCCTCACACACACACCCTGCAGCTCATTTTAACCACTGAAATCTCTCATGTACATGTAATATTGTGTATGTTGTGCAGAAGTATCCTGATGTACTGAGGTACTCTTTGAGGATTGCAGGACAAAACTGCACATTACATTTGGAAAGAAATAGGTAAGAGAGTTTTATTGTTGTCTTCTTGAGTGCATATTCGTGTACATCAATCACAATGATCATTTCAGGGAGCTTCTTGGAAAATCCTTCTTTGTGACACATTATTCCGAGCAAGGCACCCAACTAACAGCGACGCCTGCTCTTGAGGTATGTGCTGTTTCATGAGGGTTGTGTGTTGTGAATTAGGGGCGTATGTTTTTACAATGACTGAAATGTATTCATGTAAGGCAAGGGTGGGTAAAGGTCACAGCCTACCAAATCCATGAATAAGATAATGTAATCATCAAATAATGGTTTTATATATATATATATATATATATACAGAGAGAGAGAGAGAGAGAGAGAGCGAGAGAGAGTGTGTGTGTGTGTGTGTGTGTGTGGGTGAAAGAGAGAGAGATTGAATTCATTTAGTAATGCCTCAATGGGTCTTGTTTTGTATGAAACAGGCATGTCCAAGTGATTCCCAAAGTTGGAATCTCAACATGGTCCGACATGTCTGGATAAGATAAGGACTTTACATGACTAAAGAGGCTATAATTCAGCAGTTCTCAAATGATTTCCCTTTGGGACTCACATTTTCCCATGGTCTTTAAATTGTGACCCACTTTTGTAGGAGTCAGACAAGGCAAATAATTGTTTTTTTTTTAAATAGCCTTCATAAACACGTGATTGCAACTAATTACATGTGTAATCTTCGTTTCAGTCAACGTGATATTTGCATATGTAAAGATTAATACATTTGAGTCAGTTCAAAGGTTGGAAATCCAGGCCCCTCTCCTTCTTCTGTAGTTTGCATGTTCTCCTTATGCTTGCGTATTTTTTTTTCATGTACTCCGGCTTCCTACAACATTCCAAAAACATGCACGTTAGTTAAATTGAAGACTCTAAATGTGAGTCCGAATGGTTGTTTGTCCGTATGTGCTCTGTGATTGGAAAGTCAGCTGGGAAAGGCTCCAGCCCACCAGCGATGCCACTGAAGACAAGCAATATAAAAAAATGGATGGATGGCTGGTCTACCAGTTGAGAATTATCGGTCCAGTCTAACCCTGGATTGATTAGTTATTAATTTCACAGTGTGTCCAAATCATTTGTGTTCATATGATTTAAATGTATTCATCAAGTACAGGAAATCCTGTGGCATCATTAAATGTAATGTTTTCAACACAGGAGATTGTATTCATCAAGTACAGGAAATCCTGTGGCATCATACCCATCCGCGATGTACTTTTCTCAATTTACTTCATATCCACCCAAGTGGACTATGATTTGACGTATGAGGTGGACATGTCGATTACCGGTACTTAATGACATAGTTCCTTCCTCTAATTCTGACATCTCACACAGGAAGTTGATTAGTAATGCTAATGTATGTTCGTGATTTCTCCTTTCCCTCTGACCGTGACTCATAAAGTGTTCATATTCTGCTGTCACTGAGATATTTGTGTTCAAATCTGTCTCTTCCTGACATGTTCAGAATCACTGCTACTACCACGGACACGTCGTGGGAGTAAACGACTCCTCTGCCAGCATGGAGCTGTGCTCAGGATTAAAGTAAGTCTTTTTGCCTCCCTGCTTCCCATCCGGTAAACGTAATTCCAAACAGGTTATCGTTGCCATAGCATGGCATGCCAAATTCATTGAAAACCATAATGGTTTGAGACTGCCCACCATGACTCATGTCCAGCATGTTAAATACAGACTCCCCTCCAGCCAGTTCCTCCACGAGAATTAATAAGATTGAGTATGACTGTGTTTGAGATCCAGATGTCTCAGTCTTAACCTCAAGTATTTCCTATGAACAAGATTTCAGTTTAATATGAGGACAATTCTCGTGTTTGCTTTGTCCCTGAAGTTCCTGTTTTTCCCTACAGGGGGTTTGTGCACTTCCAAGATGAGACGTACCTGATAGAACCCCTGGCCTCACAGCAGGCTGAAGTTCACAGTGACGAGGGCCTTCATGCAATTTACAACTATAAACACCTGAGAAGGAAGAGGAGCTCCTGTTCCCATGGAAACACAACCATGTACTATGATCATATCGCTCGTCCGTCTGGACTGCTCCAGCTCAGCAGTCTGGTAAAGACACACGCAGCACAGACACATACATACATTTTGCAGCCAAGTAGCACACTCAATTTTACATCCACACAGACGACAAAATTATTCAGTTCAGCGTGATTATCGAAATTCTCCGATGATTGGATATAATCCCCATACCTTCAATTCCAAGCACCCTACTGTATATCTTTTACGACTGTACTAATGTATTTTTTTCCCTTGGAAAATATCTAACTTCCTCAGAGAAGCAGAGGCCAGACCAGAGATAGAGAACGAAAACCCAGAACAGTGGAGCTCGCCGTGGTGGTCGACAACACAGAGGTTTGATTCCTCTTTCTCAGATCCAAAATAGCCTGCCGTATATTTGATTTTAATCAACAATATGCATTCCCATATCTGCTAATGTCAATGTTTTCCTTTCCAGTACAAGAGGTTTGGTAATAAAGGGACAGTGGAGGCCAGAGTGCTTGAAATAGCAAACAACGTTGACAGGGTACGTGTCCCTCACACAGACAGAAATAGTCAGTACCGTGATAAAGGTTCTTTTTCAAATTCACACAACTCCTAGGTTCTTTTTATGTGGTCTGGGAATATTTCATGTGCATGCACAACCTGCTTTGCGTCTGGATAGCAGAAATTGAGGAAAAAGTGTGCTGATACGGTCTGTTCCCTCCAAGTGATTAAAAGGAGAAGTTCTCGCACTTCAACTGTGAATCTTAACACCTAAGCAGAGGAGTTTCACACATATCACACTCTGCAAGTTTACATATTCTCTCAGATTTGGGCCAATGTCTGTGACTCATCAGACAGTAGACCCAGCAGTGGTGGTCTGCGACAGCATGATCCCCGCTCATGTCGTTCGTAGCGTCATGTCTGACTCGCCTTTGAACTTTTCTTCACAAACTGTATCGAGGGATCCGACTTTTTCGCTTTCCCTTTGAAAGTGCATTCCGCTATTGTGTTCCAGCTGTATCGTCCTGTGGGTGTCCGAGTGATGTTGGTTGGACTTGAGATCTGGTCGTACAGAGATCAAATAGAGGTCAGCTCCAGTCCTGAACAAACCCTCAGCCGCTTTCTCGAGTGGCGCCAGCGGAACCTCCTGCCGAGGATGAAGCATGACAACGCACAATTCATCACGTAAGACTCAGCCGTATTTTTTGGCTCACACAAAGAGTCTCTCATCTGCTCTGACTCGTATGTGAAAAATGTTCTCTTTTTCTTGTTTAGAGGCTTGGATTTCGAAGGGGTCACGGTCGGTCTGGCCAACACAAATGCAATGTGCACCTCGAGCTCGGGAGCGGTCAATGAGGTGGCTGCTTACTTTTGTTTCATACAGTCATGTATAATCATCAAAAGACCATGACAAACCGGTGGCTGTCTTGGATCCACGAATTGGTCAAATTAACAATATATTAATTGATAATGGATGGATGATTGATTGATTATTGTTACATCAATTTACTCTGTGTGTGTGTGTGTGTGTGTGTGTGTGTGTGTGTGTGTGTGTGTGTGTGTGTACTGTATACAATGGTTGTGTCTATTTTTGCCCTATGATTGGCTGGTGGCAAGTCCAAGGTAGACTCCGCCTTTGACCCAAAAGTCACCTAGATAGACTGCAGCTCATACACTATGTATATAATTTATGAACAGTGCAGCATATTGATCAGAGTAATGTTGTGCAGAAGAGTTGTGCCAAAATGGAGGTATCGATTTCCCATAGATGAAGTCATGTTGTCCTTCTTGATATTTAAGACAGACTCAACAGTGCGATTTGTCTATATCGCCTCAAGATCAGATTCATCCTTACACGATTGAACAATTAATTAAGACCAAAATATTAAATTAAACTAACAAAAAACATGCACTTTTGAATATAATTCAATGTTATGCAAGTGTGAAAGATACCAGTAGATAATTGTAAAAAAAACAAAAAACAAAACAAAAACAACACTATTATTTCGAAAGTCAAGTGACAATCCATATGTTGATGCTTACTTTATATGACTTGGTGGATATTCCTCTTCTCCTTTTTTTTGGACTAAGTCTCCTAAATTTCTACAACAGTCAGAGATAAGGAAAAGAGGAACATTCAGTCCATAGATAAACTTGACAGCAGTTTGAGTGCGTATTTTAAGATATCCTTTATTTGTCCCACACTGGGGAAATTGACAGTCTACAGCAGCAAAATTGGGGGGTAGAAAGAAGAAAAAACAAAGTGTTTGCATGCACAAAAATAAATGTTTCAGAAGAGAGCTGTACACAATTCAATATAAGTGCAATATAAATATATATAAATATATATATAGATATATTTTGTAAATGTGGGTGGGTGCCAGACTTCATGGGCTCCACTGTGTTTCGATTTCACTTGTCTTAACACCCCTCCTCTGTGCCCACAGGACCACAACAATAACGCAATAGGAGTGTCCTCTACCATCGCCCACGAGATGGGTCACAACTTGGGCTTGTCTCACGATACGGAGAATTGTATCTGCGGTTCTTTGACATCAAAAAAAGGCTGCATTATGGCAGAGAGCGTCGGGTATGTGAATTTAAACTCCGAGTGAGCCTGATTTGTACGACTGTGTTCTCAAACACGAGTAAACATCAGGGCATCTTGAATGCTCCTCTAGTTCCGTGCCTCCAAAGATGTTCAGCAGCTGCAGCCAGCAGCAGCTCAACAGGTTCCTGGAGGAGATCAACCCAGCGTGTCTGTTGGATACCCCCTCTACTAGTCGCCTTTATGGTGGGCCAGTGTGCGGTAATGCCTTCCTGGAGCCCGGTGAGGAGTGTGACTGCGGAACTGTAGAGGTAGGCTGCACTCACACAAACATTTACATGACCAAATCTCAACAAGCAAGGCTGGGTTGTAATATAATGCTGACTTCCAAGGAATGCAAGAATCCCTGTTGCAACGCTACCAACTGCAAACTTAGCACAGGAGCCCAGTGTGCCGAGGGTGAATGCTGCCACAACTGTGAGGTGCGTATGCGCTCTCCACGCGTCGACTCAACGCGCTAGTAGTGGCCGTGACAATTTGCAGGCTCGTCGGTTGTGTGTGATCAATTGCATTTGTGGTCCATGGCCATTTTCAGCTCAAAGCGTCTGGCAGCGTCTGTCGGCCAAAGACAGGAAACTGTGACTTGGCAGAGCACTGCTCTGGACTGTCCGCCTCCTGTCCTGCCGACGCCTACGCCCAGAATGGGCTGCCATGCAACCGTGGGAAAGGATACTGCTACAACGGACAGTGTCCGTCGCGACAGCAACACTGCAAGAGACTTTGGGGACCAGGTAGAAAACAAAAATATATTTTGGTCTAACTCTCATAAGTTCAACTATATCACTTCCCTACACTGGCTTCCTGTGCCCAACCTCAAAACTAAATGGCGGATGTGCCCCATCCTTGCAGTCCGTTGCTTCCAAATTATGAAATGCACTTCCATTGGAATCTGTAAAAAGCAGTTAAAAACACATTTTGTCGGCAGTTATTCTCAATAAGACTTAATTGATTAATTTATTTTGATTCATGAGATTTATTTGTGTTTTTATTGGATTAGATATGAATGTAAAAGGTTTGTGATTTCATATTTTAACCACACGAAGCACTTCGTGAGTCCTCTCTGCGAGATGTGCTAAATGCACTAAATAATATTTCCTTGCACACTTCATGAAAAACGACAGTATTGATTCTGTTTAACAAGACTGGTCACTTGTCTTGTATTATAGATGCTGAAGTCGCTGCAGATGCTTGTTTCTATCAGCACGGAGGCTGCAGAAAGAGCCTGTTTACCCGTAGATGTTTTGGCCAGTATGTTTTGACACAATGACATTTTAGTAAAATTGTGTTGCATTTTTGACTTTGTGATTGATTGCTTTGTACGCAGAGAGCAATCATGCGGGACGCTTTTCTGCTCGGGAGGGTGGGAGTTCCCAGTGACATCCAGGAAGTCCTTTTACAAAGTAGGAAATGAGGAATGTAACGAGGCGACCATGAACCCTGAAGACAACTACCCTGCAGACCTGGGCATGGTGCCCACCGGTACCAAGTGTGGCAACAATATGGTAAAACTTACTGTCGCTTTAGATTGTAGCTGCTCCAGACAATATGCGCTAACATGTGTATTGATCCATCTTGAAGGTATGCCACAACCAAAAGTGTCAAGACATCACAAACATAAGAGCGTACGGAACCAACGACTGCTCCACCAAATGCAACAACCATGGGGTGAATATTTTACCCACACAGACACACGCTCGCACACTCAATATTTGAAGTATCTGACTGAATTGATCTCCAACAGGTTTGTAACCATCAGAGCAAGTGTCACTGCGATCCTGGTTGGGCTCCACCTTACTGTGAGGTGCTGGAATCGCAAGTGTCCGACGGTACTGTACTCATGCACAGTATATCATCATTTTTGTGTGATTGTGTGAATATTGAAGATTCCCCCATGTTTACTTTGTGTCCGGCATCCTTACTGTAGTGCGTGAAGCAAATGCTGGTCTGAAGCTTGAAGTGTCCAAGCTCAAATTTGTAGAGGATTTTCTCAAATAGTGGCCATGCCTTTGATCAACGCTGTGCCCCAAAATGCAGAAAACTCTTCCTCATGTAGATGAGGAAAAAATACGGGTAGTAACTTTAATGATCTCAGATGCTACGGTACTTTCCAGACACAGACATTCACCCTTTCAGGGACAGCGGTTAATACAGTGGACAGCTTATCACGTGATCAGGTTACAGGGTGCAGGGATCATGATTGTAATGGAAAACGGAAACAATAATGTGCTGAGTGTCACATTTTACAGATAAAGCAACAAAAATGATGCACTATTTTCTGCGTATAAAAGATACAGAAAGGAAAAAAAGGAGTAGGAATACAAAAACAAGAAAGGACAAAAACAGAATGGCTCCACTAGTATAATCAACCATGTATGAACTCGAACAATCACACAAGCACGAAGCGAATCGCACTGATATCGCACTGTACATACAGTACGTGCCTGTAGGTGAACTTGATGAGAAGGTCGGGGGGGGTTTTTGTGACTCTGCCTTGTTTTCCTTGACACTTATGACTTGGAATGTATTCCACATGGAGTCGGACAAATGTGCTTTTGTGATCAAATAGAGGCACCAGTATAAGTGATTTGGTGGAATTCCCCTTCGTAGATACAGTAATGACATTAAGCAGCATTTACTGTCGCTACCCTCAAGCAACGAATGGAGATTGATAATGTGATGTGATTTTTACAGGCGGGGGAATGGGGCTTATTGTGTCCCTGGCTGTAAGCTTGCTCATAGTCGCGACCCTTCTCATCGGGGGCTCCGTGTGCTGCTGCCAGAAAATACAACCTTCAAAGAGGTTTGACATTCAACTCTCTTGGCCTTGATGGATCAATAAGCCTTCATGTCTTTTTTATCTTAGTTGCTGTGGGTATTTATTTTCCAGATGCCTCCCATCTACCTCAGGACAGACAAATCCTTTGTTTCGATCAGGCAATGCGCGGGGCAGCCCTCACCTTCGTTCCACAACCATCAGCCAACCAACTTTTGTGGAGTCGTCGGCTACTCAAGTGTGTAAACCGCATTCCTTCTCCATGGTTGGACCATCGAATGCCAGGTTCAAAGCCTGCAGAACAGCTCCTGAGGTTCGTCAGTTAGATCGCGTAGGTTTTGCCTCTTCAAAATGTTTTAAAAGCCAACAACAAACAGGACGTTTTGCCCGGTTCGGATTATGAGGAAATCCTGTGAGGGAAAGGGTCCCATCAAGACTAAAATGGTCTAATAGACAAAACTGGTCAATAAATGAAGCATTTGGGATACAGTGGAACCAGGAAAGGTTAAAAATGAAATCATCTATTCCCACAACGTATGTGTAGTGAATGAATTTGTTGCAGCTGTCTCCATTATAAAAACCTTAATTATATGTGCAGGTTGTGATGCAATTCGCATTTTCACATTGCAAAAGGTCAAACAAGTAAAAAGACAAGTTTAAAACTGTGTCAAACGAAAGTACAGTCAAACCGCTTTCTTTGGAAGACACCTCATGCTGTAATTGTAGTGAGGACTAATTGTGTTGCTCTTCATGTGAGCAAAACGCACGCGTGGACTGTATCCTTTAGATTCTCACTGAATTGAAATCTGACACCATACATGATGATGGTTCTAATTCCGTTAGCATCTCAGGCTAAACCTACCCGTAGCTTCCAATCGATTTCAGTGACAGCCACTTCTGATAGGAATGTAACACAGTCATACAGCGTGTGTATCCTGGGAAAATTATACATATTTTTGGGGTCCCAGACACAAGCCTTCATAATTGTCTCGATAGCATTGCCCCCAAAAGACCCATATTGTGTCTGGAACCTTTTACTTTCCGGTCACTAAGCCAAGTCTTTACAAAGTCAACTTCCTAGGGAAGCACTCATCATGCTTTTCTTTCCTCCTTGTTGTGTCTTACAGCCCCCCAAAAAGGAACCAACTGTACCTCAGCCATCAAAGATCCAACAGGTAATTTGATCCAGACATTAGCACAGAACCCCCACGAAAGCCACTCTTATCATCCTCAGTGTTTATATTCCTACTTCAGTCACATCATGTATTTTTTTTTCTTTTAGGGTTTAAGGCCACTCTTGCAACCACCAGCAGTGCCAAGCAAGCCTATCTACACTGAGGTAATGTATAAAATCGACTGGAATCAAATGTTCGCAAAATGGTGAATCGTTTTAATTATACAATCAGTTCATGTTGACTATATGGATCAACAGAATTGCCTGTCAAAATGATCAATAAATGAAAACTTTGTGTGTGTGTGTGTGTGTGTGTGTGTGTGTGTGTGTGTGTGTGTGTGTGTGTGTGTGTGTGTGTGTGCTTGTTAACAACAAACGTGTCTAACCTGTGGCGAAACTGTGAACTTTGAACCCTATTATAAGGGTGGGCTATGAAACACTCTCATCCCCATGGGTACTACTCCCCTGCTTAATAATTTTAGTTTATTTTTGTAGCGCAAAGTTAAGTCTGGAAAGTAAGCGTGCAGGTGTTTTTTTATGCATTTTTATTTGTTTTTTATCTTTAACAAATCAGCAAAAATCAGCTGGCTTTGTACAGGGTTGGAAGAAAAAAGGGGGCCTTCCCCACATTGTTCCTGCACTATGACTCAGGGGAAACTTCAGGGTCTAGCAGCCAAATAGTAATCATTAAGAGGCGTGTCCCAAAACGTGTAATGTGATTATTCACATATTGATTTGTGATTACTTCCAGGCTAGGCCGCTACCTCCATCCAGACCTCTTCCGCCACTGACGTCCAAACCAGTAAGTCAAGACTTAATCATCCACGTGGCCAATGTTTTTGTTGTTTCGATGTAATCAATTGAGTTCTCACAGGTCACAAAGCCAAAACTTGTCACGCCTCCAGTGAAGCCAAAGCCCGCCGTTGTCCCTCTGCAGCTGCCTCACACTCAGCTGGTACGTCTCGAGACCACAGCGGTGCTTCGCTAACTCCGCCACGCCTCGTCTTGTCAGACTCTCATTGTTATCCCCGAGGAATCTGCATTCACGATTGTGGAATTTTGGCCATCATCCCAATATCGCGATTTAATGAACTAGCAGTGGCTTGGTATTAGCTCCCCTGAAAAGTCATATCCGGTATGTTTAAAAAAAAAAAAAAATCAAAAAAAGAGAAAAGACATCGACACAATGTTGTCAACTAATTGTGCTCTGCTTTGTTCGAAGTCAGCTGGGATTGGCTCAAGGCTACCTGTGACGCTATAGTGAGGATAAGCAATAGTGAAAATGGATGTATAAATAAATTTCTTTCCATACTTTGGTTTCAACCCTGGTTGTTGAAATATTTAAACTTATCAAAAGATTAAAGAAAAGAAATATTTTTCTCATTTAAAAGTGAATAGATGTGTGTTTTAGCATTTGAGTCACCTTTCAAATGATGTGAAAGGTTTCCAAACAGTAGCTAAATTTGTTGCTAAAGTGCTTCTCGCGGTAAGATGTTACGGTTGTCTGTAAAGTGGCTAAATGAAGCAACAAAAGTGCTAAGTTCATCACTGGCTGCACGTCTGAAGAGATTGCATTGAAAGATGCTTCTGATGTGTGCTTGCTGATTGTATTTATGTGTATAGCTTGCAGGAAAAGCTGCCCTGACTCGACTCAGTAGACCCAGATGACCGAGGGGAATCATTCCACTTCTGAAATCCTCAGATACTGATGCTCTTATCTCACCTACAAGGACTTAAAAAGAAGAAAAAAAAAAAAGCTCTCAGGAGACGTTGGTGTAGGTTCATGCAGGGATGAGACCCAGCTGAAGGATCAACAACAAAAATCAGCGGAATTTCTTTTTCTTTTTATTTTTTTCTTACGCCGTGAGGATTACCACCATCTGCCTTGCTTCTTTTTAAAACTGTGATTGACAGCTCTTTTTGCTGCGCCACCATGATGAGACGACGATGATCTGTTTGAAGGGAAACATCTCTTCCGCTTCTCCTCGATCCTGAGATATGTGAACGCTTTATGATTGCACTGCTGATGCTGTAACTCTTTTTTCATTGTTTTGGTACTAAGAGAAGTTTTTAAATGTGGCACCAACGTGGGCACTTTAAATATTTTTGTATGATAAAAGGACAGAGCGTAGAGGGGGGTTTCGGGAGCCCCTACCCAGCCTGTTTTAGATGTTTCTCTAGCTCCAATATATCAGAGTCAAATGATCAGCTCATCAGCAAGCTGCGCACAAACCTGGTAATGGTGTCTCATTTGGATGAGGTTTGTTGGAGCTAGGGAAGCATCTAAATCAGACTGGATAGGGGCTCCCTCAGGACCAGACTTGGAGACCCACTGATGTCGATTGTATGAATTTGCCTTGAATCCATTTGTGGGACTGTATGAATGTACAAATTTGTGCTTGACAATTGTCTTTTTCACATTGCAACCCAAGTCAATTTTAACTTCTCAAGGGATTAAAAAAAAAAAAAAATTGTATGTTCTATGCAGTAGTTGTCGTCACATTGTCGCTTATAGAAGTAATAATAACTAATTTAACGAGGACACAAATTTCAATCCGAGTTTCATTTCTATTTATAAAGACCATCGTGTGTGCATGCATGTGTTTAAATAAAATTACAGAAAACTTGATTTTTTTTCCTCTGTGCAATTATTTGAGGACATTAACATAGTACATTACTGCATACCATAGAAGCTCCCAGATAGCACTTGATGGCCGTGAACAGGCTCGTCAATAAAATCAGTGCAATGGCATTAAATGTTCACTAATTGCTTTGAAACAACGTGCTGACATTACTTTTTTTCACCTTTTAAAAAATATTATGTTTCATCAGTTGCAGCGTTTATCGGTATCTAAAATTGCCTGATTTTTTGAACAGTCTCCTCGAAAATTCTTAATTGATCAATTGTAAAAGGTTTGGGAGTAACAAAAATTGCTTTATCTTTCTAAAATGAAGGCCTTTTTTTAAAACCCCATTAACAGTCTTGAGACTGAGACGGAATAATTTATTCATTTAATAATTTCTCAATAATTTAGTTTCATCTTCAATGAAAAACAATGCTTTTCTTGCAAGACTCAGGACACTTTCTTTGTTGCATGGATGTTCATCTTTGAAAAGCTGAAAAAAATTATTTAAAAAAGATTTGGGAAAAAATGCACATATTTAAGTCGCAGTGAGAGGTGCGCTTCTTCGTTGCCTAATTAATGTGGTGTGTTTAATTATAAACGTCGGTAAACCATGCATAAAACACATTGTATCAGTACATAACGTAATCTATACGTCTGCTGACGTAATTGTGCTCCTTCCGCAAGGGCCCCATACGCTGCGTTGCTAAGCAACCGCTTAAAACAACCAAGCGAAATCGTCTCGTGCTTGAATTGAATTCATAAGACATAAAGATACGCGAATAGCGAATGGAGCGAGAGTTAGACGAGGACGAGTTGCAGGATTTGTACGCGTGGATAGATAAAATTCGTCTTTCAAGACCAAAAAGAAACATCGCCAATGACTTCAGCGATGGAGGTACTTCAAGCTAGGCTAAAGCTAAAAACCAATACTCGGGCATCAATGTAATGAAAGTCATTGTGGAATGCACTTTGACAAAGATAAAAGTTTTTAGTTTTAATTTACAATGACAAACATATTATGTTCATTGAGGCGAAGGCGCAAAAATCACATCAAGTGGACGTGAATTTTTAATGTACCTCTTGTATTGAGTCACAAGAGTAGACTATTCATAATGATGCGTGCTTTTTATTGTTCCTATATATATATAAAATATGGATGGATTGGATAGACTGGATCGATGAATAGAAAAAAGACTTCTGGGCCAACAAATCGAATTTAAAACAGTAGTGGTACCTGGGCCTGTGCCCCATCTACACTGCTACGCAAATAAGTTAATTGTGTGCTCTGCATAACATTATATGAGTTAATATTTCATGAATGTATTGGCTTTCTGTCCGCAGTGATGGTGGCTGAGGTCGTCAAACATTTCTTCCCAAAGATTATCGACTTGCACAACTACACTCCTGCCAGCTCCACTCAGCAAAAACTCAGCAATTGGAACCTCCTTAACAGGCGAGATGCAACACATCGTCCGTGCATTCATCTATCAAATTAAAAAAAAAGATATGGAGGCAAATCCTCTTGCAGGCCATACACAGACCTCAGGATGTAGGTTTCCCACTGCTGCATAAGATGTGCAATGGTAATTAATGATGTGAGTGGCCAGTGAGTGTGTATCCTAAACATACTTGACTTGAGAGTTCCTGTGCTGTCTTTGTTTGGCCATGACTGAGAAACAAATTCACACAGTGTAAATATTTTTCACAGTATAGCTCATAAATATAGTCATTCTGACGGAAAATGGGCACAATGGGAATTCAGTGTCTCGTGCCACCCTCCCCACCATTCCCAGTGGGCACGTCAAGCTATTCAGTGGCTGAACTTAGCTAAACTCTCTTCATCTGGCCGTGAGAATCAGTCCAAACATTGTCCTGAACCATTTCAAGGGCACAGGGCCAGCCCCCGAGGATCCCTGTAGTGTTAATCATCACAACATGCAAGTCGGTATAAAACGCCTTCCATCTGCTGCTCCTTTCCTAATTGCAAACAGATGTGTGCGTGCGTTGTTCAGTGTCAGTTTTGCAAACACAGGAAGGTGTTTTCCAAGCTGAACTTCCACGTACCTGAGAAGTCGGTGAAGAAGATTATACTTCGATCCGCGGGGGTGATCGAGAGTGTGCTGAGTGGCCTCAGAGAGAAGATACAACAGAAGTTGGACCATAAGCCACACACTATATCAGTATGTGATGTAGAGCTACATTGAAATGTATTATGTGCATCACTAAATGTCTATTTTCAATGCAGGATTTGGAATACTATGACACCAGGAACCCAGAGAAAACCCTCACAGGTAACTTTATCCTTGGTTCTTTCACTCCAAGAGAATTCCTACTACATCCCACCCATTTTCTATATTGCTTCTCCTCATTAGGGTCGCACGTGAGTTAGAGCCTATCCTAGCTGACTTGGCGTGAAAGGCGTGGTACGCTCTAGATGGGTCCCCAGCCAATCACATCGCACATATACTGAAAACTTCACAATTTCACACCAATAGACAATTCTAACCTAGCATGCATGGAATGTAGGAAAAAGCTGGAGTATTACAAATATATGTTTCCAAAAAACATTCTTGTGGTTTAATGCTGCAATCCGTTTCATTGTGCTGTTCCATCTGATGTGCCCGCCTTGGCCAATGTGAGGTAGTCATAGATGATGCAGTCACGCAGACACAAACAAAGAAAAGTACTCTTCTTCTATCACAGTGATTAGTCATTTCTTGGAGGATAAAGAATCTATGACTGTGAGTATTGTTAAGCATGTCAATTTTCATTCCATGTTAGCATTAAATTAGGGGGCCGTTCAGACAGAAACATTGTTTGGTCGTTTTAAATCGAAAACGTGTAATTGTCTTCGTTTGATGGGAGTGGCGCGAAGCCTCTTTTTTTTCAAAAATTGTTGGCTAGTTGCCAAAGTGCTGCTGTTTTACAAATTTGCAGCCGTGGCAATTTGAAAATTGCATTTTACTACATTGCGACGTCGATTTGAATTCGATTAATGGCTCAAATATGATACCTTTTTACGTGCTGATTCGAGAGGATTTTCCCCTGATCCGCTCTGCTACCCGCCCCGTAAGTGCATGTCTTCCTGTCCAGATCATCGTGACCACACACACACACACACACACACACACACACACACACACACACACACACACACACACACACACACACACATGATAAGCAAATGTCGCAACCTTTTGGGCGTCAGCCGCTGACACGGCTCTCTTCCAATTCTCGCACCTCATCCGTCCCCGCCAAACAACCTTGTGAGCTGACCTCAGACCAGCTCCTCTTTCCTCCTCCACCCTGCGTGCTATCACAGAGAGACACAGAGCACACATCCTTATATCAGCAGATGCCCTTATCACTGACTAAAGATCAGCATGGCAGAACTTCAAGGCCTTCCCTCCCTTGTTCTGCTTCTCCTCATCACGGTCATTCTCTGTTCCCCCCCCCCCATTGTTTGGGCTGGGAAGATTTACTGGACCGCTTAGTGTGTCCAACAACAGCAAACTAGTCACCTATTTTCAAAGAGCTGACATGATTGTGGAGGGAGTGTCACTTTTTTTTCTTCTCTTTGCTTCAGAGTTTAGTCAGTGTGAGGCCCGATATCTGTCCGAGATGGTACGTGAGGAGGTGAAACGGGATGACAAATTAAAAATGGAGACAAGGTAACAAAATAAAACTTGATGTGGTTCACTGTCATCTACCAAATAAACAAACAAACAAACAAAAAAACTACAGTCCTACGGGAGGAAATAGCCTGGTTGCATAAATATACACACCCTTCAGGTCAAAATGATATAATGCTTTACTGCAGGTATGCCGTATGTTTTGTAAGAGAAGCTGTCCATCAAGCAAAGACGAATGAGGAATACGGGTGATTGCTGTCCCGTGTTTGACACGGCCAGTACTTGCCAGAAACTTCTCACAGCCTCCTCTAGTTTTCTTCTGGTCTTTTCAGCAATTTTGGCAAATCCATCTCTTGTTTCTGTCACTGCTGTGCCATTGAACGGCTTGGAAATTCTTTGAACCAATCTCCTCTACATTGTAAAGAAGTTCTCTGTAAAATAACAGTAGATTGTTGGCAGCAGGGACGCCAGTAATTTACTGTACTGTAATTTATTAAGTAAGTATACTACTGTCTTTGGAATTACAGTATGTTATCATCAGAAAACAGTGGCTGGTGTCGCAATTTTAACACCGCATCTTACCACAGTTACCGACTGTTCTTGTTGACAGACTGATTTCAATGCTAATGAATATTTATGTAATACAACTTTATTTCACGGTATTTTACAAATATTTTTTTCACAGTAAAATTACAGAAATTCGTTTCAGTGTAATTGATGAAGCGTGAACTATTCAACATTTTTCCCTGAAACGATTTGACTTTCTTTTGCAATTGAATTGTCTCGTCACAGTTCACTTTCAAGATGGAAAGATGTCTGACATGATTCATCTTTTTTTTTTTCATTTCATCATTTCAACTGGGTGTGTGGATTTTTTGCGTATCCACTTTGAAAAAAAAATCTTTTGGCCTTTGATATTGCAGCAAACTACAACACACAGCTCAGTTTTACTCCAACATGGACCCAGCGGTGCGCCAAATTCTAAAGGAAAAAGAGCATGCAGCCATGGCTTTGCAGGAGACAGTGGAGGTACACACACACACACACACACACACACACACACACACACACACACACACACACACACACACACACACACCACACACACTTCAATCTGGGAAACACATCGCTTGACTTGTCTTCCTATTTTCATTCTGCTGGAAAAAAGCAGGTATACAGACATTTTGCAGGTGTGTGTGTCACCCACATATATGGCACAAGCTGTGTCAGCAGTGGTTAGTGAGTCAGTTTTACCTCAGCGGATATAACTCTCAATGTGTGACAACATCTGCATGTGAGGCAAGGGGCGACACGAGGACACAATGTGGAACACTTCCTCTTTTATTTTTTTTGTTTTTTTTTTCCTCGCCCATTGCTGACTTTCATCCAATGCACTGCCTGGTCCCTCTCTCTGGAATGAAACTCCCGCTGAACATTCGGCAAGCCTCCTCGCTGTCCATCTTTAAAACCCGGCTCAAAACCCACTTGGATTCTTTTGCATTTGACTCAGCATGACCCAAATTATGATCTTAGTTTTACTGTTTGGTGCTCTCTACCGTCTTTGTTACTGATTTGTTGCTTTACTGTTGTATATGTTAGTTGCTCCATGTACAGCACTTTGTGTGCGGCGATGGCTGTTTGAAAGTGCTCTATAAATACAGTTGAGTTGAGAGTTGAGTTGAGCCTGTTGTTTTCTCTTCTCTGCATTGGCTTGTGTGCGTGTGTAGATCCTGCAAATGAAGGTGAGCAAGTTGGAGCGCCTGATACAGCTAAAGGACATGCGGATCGATGACATGAGGCACAATCTGGAGATGTGTACCTGTCTGAAAGGAAAGCACACGGATTCTAAACCCAACAGCATTTAAGCACTGAAAAGCAATACTTTGATTTGCTTATCTTCAATTCATCCCTTACAACAAAAAAAAAAAGGTCTCATATATTTCACAGTCAAACCAAGATTTTTTTCCCTATTGGAAATAATGGGAATTTTAATAATTTTTTCAGCCCACAAAAGTGGAAAAAGAAGTTACTCTCAAATGGCATAAGCCAGAAAGTGACCCATATAGTAGCAAGTCAGTCAGCAACTAGCGATGGAAGTAGCTAGCTAACATTAGCAGTTGACTTCACTGCTTGGACTTTAATTCTTTTCAGCCTTATAATCTTTTCTTGTTGAGTCTGGTTGAGGATTTTTGAAATATAAAAAAAAAAAAAGCCTCAAAAAGACAAAAGAACAAAAACAGTTAATCATTTGATGCGAGAGGAAATGAGCATTGGTGACATTTAGGACTTTTCCAGAAAAATGTTGTGACATAGCACCATCTGTTTTTTTTTTTTTTTTTTTTTTTTTAAAGGAAAACACTGAGAATTTTGTAGGCTTTAGTCCAAAAGTATTACACAGTTAGTGGAAAATTGACTGACTAAATTGTCACGAGAACACAAGTTCAGAAACTCTTATAGGCTGACTAAATTGTCACGAGAACACAAGTTCAGCAACTCTTATAGGCCAAAATCGGCCGAACTTATTTGTAATTAAGTATAAACGTAAGTATCCTACAACAATATAATAGTAATTGACTTAAAATATACTGCAAGGGATCCTTCTTTATAGTCATATATAGTACTTCTAGTACATTGTAGTTAAGATCTAACAAGTAAAGAATACTTAAAAATAACACGAATATAGTCCGGTTCTAGAATATCCTTCGAGATTTCTCGAATGCATGCCTTATTCATCCATAAAATGGTGAAAATGATTTTTGAGTTACAATTAATAGTGAATTCAAATAAGGATTTTTTTTTTGTAAGGGAAGACTATAAAATACACCAGCAACTTTATTTGTTGTATCTGTTTATCAAAGTTTTAAGTGAGGGAGATTTACTGTACAGTATATTTATTTTCCTTTATTGTGATTTACTAAGACTGTAGAGAGTATTGAGTTGATGCATTTTTTTAATATAATGAGGTCCTGCTCTGCGTGAAATCTGAATGTGCTTGTTTTTTTAAACATATCTGCAATCCTTTATACAGCTTGTCCCGTCTGACCACCCCGTGCTCAATAAATTGTCTAACTGCTTTATTTTCCCAACGTGACTTGTTGAGAAATAAGCTGCGAACACAATGACATGCAGTGTTAGGTTTACTCACAAGCACTGTCAGTTCCTCACACTCATCTAAAAGTGTGACAACTTATTTTTAAAGCAACTCCTGTTTCCGTTGGAAGTGTGACTTTTGCTTATTGATAGCACATTTTTCACCACCGTTAACAGTTAAGATGAGGCTGACAGGTGTAAGAATAAGTTATTGATGATTCAGCATCATGGCCTGTTCTGGTCTAATGAGAAAGCATTTGCTCATGTTCGAAATCTGACACAAGTAGGTCATTTTGGAACAGGCTAGCTTGAAAAAAGAAAAGCACTCAAGACTAAACCATAAAACAGTCTCTATCATTATTTAACATTTCACAAGGAAAATAACGTCCTAGCTATTTCGCAGATATAAACAACATAACTCAGATACTGGCCGTTTCCCCCCATTTGCACAAGATCATGTTGCCAGGCAGAATTTGTGCTCCCCTTTGCCAAAGAAAATAAACATACTATACTTCACCAAAGTCACAGACAATACTGATTCTTTTGCAAGTGGAAGTGCTGCTTTCAAGAGTGAAAATACAAGCAGTGCTGACTTAATAGTGGCTTACATGTGCTTCACAGTTCACATACGCTTCTTATGACGAATTTCTCATCGATTCCACAATCAAATCACTATTCTGATAGATCAAAAATATAAGAGTAATTTTCCAACTGACATGAATGGAAATACCATAAATCCTTTCCAACCCCCCACCCCAAAACACAGAACAACTGCACAATATAAATTTTTGAGATAGTAGCTATAGCTCAGCCCATTTTTTTGTCTTGAGTTGCAAGCAAACACAAAAAGTGCAATAACACATGTAGATAGACAATATGACAATACTCACAAGCATATATTCTTTGTCTTCTACGAAAAATGACTAATATTTCTGCAGCTTCCTGAGCCACTTAGTTGTGAACATCTTCAAGTACCGTATTTATTCTGTCTGTATTATTACGGCACCCGCATGGCCAAGGCACACAACCCGTTGTTAAAGCATTAGTGCTATTCTTTTTCCCAAAATTTTTTTCAAAGGTTTTTGTTGGTGTTTTGGCGCGGCTACAATGGATTGATGGCCTTTTCTAATGAGGAAGATGATTTGCGACGCAATTGCTTTTAGTTGGAAGAGTGATCAAGAACAAATTCAAATTGTAAATGAAGGCACCAGTGTTCTCAAAAAATGCTCTCTAACAGATACGAGTTGATTTATGTAGAATGAAGCAAAAGTAACAAGCTTAAAGTCTAAATAAAATGAATGGTCATTGGTCGACTATGGCTTGTGAGAGTCTATTGTTGAATGACAAAGAGCTGAGTAAGGGGCAGAAAACAGTGAAAGAGCAGTAAAAAATAGAGTTATTCGGAAAGGTGATGTTTTTAGCATGAGTGTGAAACTCCAGCACACAGGATTGGAATGTAATGGAGAAGAAGCGGAGTACAAAGCTGCACTGATGACTGAATCACCCTGTCACTCTTCTTTTGAATCTAAGGATCATTCCAGATCCTCACACCAGCAGCCACACCCTCAATGTGGTGGGCTTCAGCAGACAGGGACTTGACCCGACTTCCTGACAGCACCAGACCACCCATTTAACTGAACACAGTCAACATCAATATTAGCGTTAGCAAGGCTTATTTGTCTTGCTCATATGTTTGAACAAAGTAATGAAATCTGGGTCAGACGCTCAGTATTTTAAAAAAAAACTAGGCAAGAAAGGCAATTGCCTCTGTCCCAAGCCAAGGGGGGGGGGGG